CACTTACATTGACAAAATATGCGCAGCTTGCAGAAGAAGAGAACAAGAAGAACATGCATTTAGAGAAGATTGGAAAATGTTTATTGAATATATGGGAAATAATTGTGTACAGCTGAAAACACCGGCAGCATTAAGATAAATTCAACAGTGTAAATAAGTTTTGATGGATGCAATAATGGAATACTGAATGGTATAGTTTTTGTAAAATATGTAGGGATTTATGATATGTAAAATGAACCATGGAAAGAGAAGAAGAGGTCTTAAGGATGTAAAAATGAGTATTTTAAATTGTAAAACAGAAAATTTAATAAAAATTATATACAAAAAAAAGATAGTACAGCTGATTCCAGGTTTCAGGTCACTCCCAAAGCTATACCTCCCAGTGGGACTGCTTGGTCAGTGTTTCTCAGGCTGCTGGCTGACTTGGTAGCAGCAGCCGAGTCTCAGATACCACAGCCATTTAAATTTCCCACAAAATGCCCTGGAGTTCCAGGGTTGCAGGGCATTGTGGGGAAACCAACTACATCTAGTGAGGAATTCTGCAGCGCAGTTGCAGATGGAAGTGATTACGTACACATGTTTTGCAACTGCATGTTTCATTTACAGTTCAAACATTTATCTTAACTTGTATCGATATTTTCAGTTTTCCTTTGTGAACCAGTTTAAAGTCACCTACCCGGTAACGGCATATTAAATTTTGTTAGATAAATATAAAAAAAATAAAATTTTAATGACCGCTGCTTTCCAGACTCAGTCACTGCTGCCAGATAAACCCAAATTCAATATAAATTCAATAAATAATAATATGTTTTTTGGGGGGAAGGGGAGCCAATTGGGTTGTTGTTTTTATTTTTATTATGTATTTTGTGGTTTTGTATCTCGATTTTATTCTGTGAAGCGCCCTGAGGACCCCCCCCCAGGTATATAAATTCAATGAAGAGGAAGAGGAGGAGGAGGAGGAGGAAGAGGAGGAACAACAACTGTGGAAATGTGCAAACAGGTGAGTGGGCCCTGCTGGGGCACACAGGACCCAGCAGCTGCCAAAAGGTGCCAGTAGTTGGCGCTGCCCCAGCAAGAGGTGAGTGTCATTCGCCACTCTTGTTTCTCTGCTGTGAACCTTCCCAGGAAAGGAGAGGCAGGTGCTTGGTAGGGGAGATGCAAGCTCCTCCCTTGCCTCTCCCAGTGTGAGACTTAAGAAGAACAATACAGAGAGAGTAGACCCAACCCCTTAGACTGATCATCATCTGCAAGTGCAGCTTTCTCCCGATTGAAGTACAGAGTGTTTGAGGACCGGGACATTTGCAGAGAAACCAAAATGCTTGCTTGCAAAGCTATTGTACTGCCAACCTTACTGCATGCTTGTGAAATGTGGACCACTTATAAACACCATCGCCAACTCCTCGAAAGATTCCATCGACGATGTCTCCGAAAAACTTTACACATCACTTGGGAAGACAGGCGAACTCATGCCAGTGTACTGGAAGAAGCAAAGATCACCAGTGTTGAAGCAATGATTCTTCAACATCAACTTTGTTGAACTGGTCATGTTGTGTGGATGTCTGATGATCGTCTTCCAAAGCAACTACTCTATTCCAAATTTAAAAATGGGAAGTGTAATGCTGGTGGTCAACAAAAGAGGTTTAAAGACTGTCTCAAGGCAAATCTAAAAAAAAAAATGTAGTATAAACACTGACGACTGGGAAACACTCGCCTGCGAACACTCCAATTGGAGAACAGCCTTTACCAAAGGTGTCATGGGCTTTGAAGACGCTCGAACTCAGGACGCAAGGGAGAAACGTGCTAAGAGGAAGGCATGATTGGCAAACCCTCACCGTGATCAACTCCCACCCAGAAACCTATGTCCCCACTGTGGAAGGACGTGTGGATCCAGAATTGGCCTCCACAGTCACTTATGGACTCCATGTTAAGACCGTGTTCGTGGAAGACAATCTTACTCGGCTATGAGTGATCACCAAAGAAGAAGATTGATCCTCAATGCACAGGTTCAGAGAAGTTTCTCCTGATCTTCTCGCTGCTTGAAGGTTCCTGAGGGATTAGAGTGAAGTCATGCAAGTGCTTCGTCACTGCTCTGCACTTTATATGAGAAGTTTGAGGAAAGCAGCGGCATCTAGGGAGTTCACACATTCACACATTGGCAATTAGCAGTTATCTATAATTCATCCTCACTCCTTCCTTTGGCAGAGGCTGGAAGCACTGCAGACGCAGAATCCTGAGCCCCTTGGGAGCAGCAGGTGGAGGAGCATCAATGGACAACACACATGCCAAAGAGAGATGTGACAATCTTTTCTGAGGTTAAGGGCTTCAGAGAGAGGTGCAGGTTTTAGGAGTTAAAGACGGAATTGAGATCCTCAGAAATCCTTTCTTCCCCCAGAGCAAATGCCACCCATTGTTAACGGTGAGATCCCATGCATGTTTACTCAGAAGTCAAATCTACTTTGCTCATCAGACTTACTCCCAGATAAGTACTCTGCTGATGGATAGAAAGGGCAATCCTATACTATACTTGCCTGAGAGTAAGTCTCATTGAACTCATTGGTACTCACCCCTGGGCAGACATGTATAAGACCGTGCTCACATTCAAATTGTGAATCTGTTTCGTTCCATTAATTTTCTTCCATTTGGGGAGCAATCTGTGAAAATTTGTTAATATCTGTTGCTAGAAATTCAATTTCCAACCGTGTGTGTGTGTGTGTGTGAGAGAGAGAGAGAGAGAGAGAGAGAGAGAGAGAGAGAGAGAGAGAAGGTCACCCAGATAAGCTTTTTCTACGAAAACTCTTATGCTGAGTAATTTAATATAAATCATAGCTGGTTGCTAGAAGGAATGGGAAGTTGATGTCACTGTTCTGTTCCATCTTGTAATCCCTCAAGAGCCATTTCCAGCTGATTTTCAGCCTGGCTTTTAGTTCAAAAAAAGGCAGTCTCTGCGGAGTCCAATTCAGCTGGCAAACCCATAAGCCAAGGCCAGCTCAGCCTGATCCCCCAATGTCATAGTGAGTCATGTTTATAATTTGGTGTTGAATACCGTTTAAAAACTCCCTTCTCTGACTTATGAAACAGGCATCTCCTGCAGAACAGAATACAGCATCGAGCATCACACAGAGATCTGGTGTGCTATTATCAGAGAGAGGAAGGGATCATGTGATCTCAACAGTACTTACAGGGCAGAGACACAAGAGGCATTGTTAATATCAGGATGGGAGGCTGAGCAAGATGAACTGGAAGTCCCCACATAAACACAACACGGCCTTTAAACTTCAATCATGTGCTCTTGTTGAGGAGTACATGCCACTCACTCTCTGAGAATAACACACCAAGAGAACCGTCTCTTTGGGGAAGAGCTTGTGGTTCAGTGATAGAACAGGGGCCAATTTGCAAGTGTTTGGCACCACTTTCGAGTGAATTGGACAATGTCAGATTTTTGGCGAAATCCTGAGCCCACAGGTTAGGGCGGCGAGGGCTGGTATTCTGGCCTTCTGTGAAATGTGTTGTTTGCACCACCGAACGTTGCAGGAGAGAATTTGCAAGTGTTTGGCACCACTTTTGAGTGAATTGGACAACGTCAGATTTTTGGCAAAATCCTGACCCCCGCAGGTTAGGGCGCCAGGGGGCAGATTTTGTGGGGCGCCGTGAAACGTAGTATTGTCACCGCCAATCCTTGCAGAGGGCCTTTTCTGGGTGTTTGGTGCCGTTTTGAAGAGAATCGGATGACGTCGGGTTTTTGGCAAATCCCTGCCTCACGAATCAGGGCTCATTTTATGGCCTACTGTGAAACGTAGAGTTTGCACGCCGCCAAAGGTTGTAGGGGACCATTTGCAGGTGTTTGGCGCTGTTTTCTAGTGAATTTATTTATACCCTGCCCATCTTGGCTTGGCTGGGTTTCTGCTAAACAAGCTTAGGATAGAGCTACATGGAGATGGACGGAAGAGACAGCCCCAACGAGAGTGGAATGGCAAATCCAGTTGATGGAATCAAAGAAACAAGAAATTAAAAAAAAGAACAAGAAATGTTTATAATTTGTATGCAAAATTATGGTAAACAGGTTAAAACATTAGCAGGATTTTAAATACATTTGTAATGTAACAGGGACGCGGGTGGCGCTGTGGGTAAAACCTCAGTGCCTAGGACTTGCTGATCATAAGGTCGGCGGTTCGAATCCCCGTGACGGGGTGAGCTCCCGTCGTTCGGTCCCAGCTCCTGCCCACCTAGCAGTTCAAAAGCACCCCTAAGTGCAAGTAGATAAATAGGTACCACCTTATAGCGGGAAGTTAAACTGTGTTTCCGTGTGCTGCGCTGGCTCGCCAGATGCGGCTTTGTCACGCTGGCCACGTGACCCGGAAGTGTCTTCGGACGGCGCCGGCTCCCGGCCTCAATGTAACAGAATGTTTAGATAACTAAGGAAGATGAAAAAATTGGAGATATATTTATATGCAGTTGAAAATGGAATGGACCCGTGGAAGGGATGGGGGGAAGTCGGGAGCTTCAGAGCAATTTAGTTCTATTCTTTGATGTATGTTTATTTTCTCTTTCTTTTTCTCTTTTTTGAAAATCACATAAAAAGATTATTTAAAAAAGGATAGAGCTACATGCAGTAGCTCATATATCAAGGGGCTAGTCATTATTTTTGCTCTTGACAAATGCAATGTTGTAATTAAATGGGACAGGTGACCATTTCTATCCAAGGTAATTAAAACATTTGTTTGGATGCAGACTTGGATTGCACTTTGGGACTGTCACTATTTATCAGGTGAGATCCAGTCACACCCTAGTAAATTCAGCTTGCACAATTAAAGCTGATTTCAAGGTCTTGCGCAGCAAAACTGCTTCCCGGAAAGATCGGAGTTTGAATCACAGAGTTTTGAATGCCTTGAATCACAGGCTCTCCAAGCAGCAGAGGCTCCAGCCGGCAGGGGCGGGGCTTCCCGGGCGGGGCGGGGCCCCAGAGCACAGCCCCCACCTGCCACTGCTGGCCGGATGGAGGCTCCCACTTCTCGCTCGCTTGCAGTTGCTTCGTGCGGACGGAGCGGCGTAATTCAGGGTACCGTAATTCCCCGTCTCCTTTGCGCGCGCCGGCGGAAAAAGTTCCCCAGACCTCCGGCTCCTGGGCGGCGGGACGTGGAGCTGGGAAAGCGCGCTCTGAGCATCACTCGGGCAGGTTTGGCGGCACAGGTAAGCGTCCCGATCCTGCGTTTGAAATAAGCAAGGAGGGCGACTTAATCCCAGGGAAGCGAGCGCCGGGAGCGCAGGGCAATTTTGCGCTTCTTGAATTGAGTCGCCCTGATGGAGAGGCGTCCGACGGGGCTCTTCCTCTCGGCCGAGGCTGCCCTTCGCTTGCCAGGGAAGGCAGGCAGGGGGCAGGGAGAGGTGACGATCGCGTCTCCAAGCTGCAGGGCGCGCTTACCCAGTGGCGTAGCGTGTGGGGTGCAGGGGGGGCCGGCCGCACCGGGCGCAACATCTGGGGTTAGGGCAAATTCACGGGATAGGGGGCGCAAATCCACGGGTTAGGGGGCGCAAATTACTTGCCTTGCCCCGGGTGCTGACAACCCACGCTACGCCACTGCGCTTACCTCCGGGTGCCAAGCGCTGCCGTGCCACCCCATTCCTCGCTTGGGGTGGTCTTTCCAGGGGGCGTTCAGTATCCCTACCCCTGGCGGAAAGTGGCAGGCGCCTCTCGCACCCCCCGCCTCCCTCTGTCCGTCCTCCGCGAGGATGGTGCGTTTTAACTTTTGCGACCCGGCCACTCCCTGCCGATCTGAAATCGCTTCCTCCCTCCCGCCTCCTAATGTCGCCGGGGAGTGAGTTTAAAGTAGGATAGCCCGATCGTAAGGCGCTTTGGTTAAAAAATAACGCGACCCTCCCCCCGCTCCGCCCAATATTTCTGTTGTGCTTTACTTCTGCCTTCCATCAAGCAAGCCCCAAATGGAGATACTGCGCTTGGACTGTGGCCCCATCCAAAACCTAGTGGCATCAGCGCAGAGTAATAGATGCCATTGCTAGGAAGTCGAACCAATTGCATTCAGTGGGATTTACGCCTTCGGGACTGCCGCGTTCCTAACCCAGCTTTGCTCCTAGCCTGGAACTCGGGGAGCGCATTGGCGTTCTGCGTAATGATGCCGAGTTCAGTGTAACCTGCAATTTTGCGCGTCTCCTTCATGATCTGCTTTGAAAACGCTATTCTCGTGCTTCGTTTCTGTCGTTGTAACGCAATATCGAACGCCTCGCAAAAAGGAGGCGGGGAAATCCTCAGGGTTCACTAGTATGGGGTATTGGACCCTATCCATATGATCTTCCCGACGTCTCTTCTGGGTACACGCTAGGAAAGCGCTGTGAGGATAAATAGCTGCCTTCATATTGGAGACATTTTGAGACATCTATTATTATTTATTGACTTCATATACCGCCCTAGAGGGGACACAAGTGGCGCTGTGGGTTAAACCACAGAGACTAGGACTTGCCGATCAGAAGGTTGGCGGTTCGAATCCCCGCAACGGGGTGAGCTCCCATTCCTCGGTCCCTGCTCCTGCCAACCTAGCAGTTCAAAAGCACGTCAAGTGCAAGTAGATAAATAGATACCACTCTGGCGGGAAGGTAAATGGCGTTTCCATGCGCTGCTCTGGTTTGCCAGAAGCGGCTTAGTCATGCTGGCCACATGACTCGGAAGCTGTACACCGGCTCCCTCGGCCAATAAAGTGAGATGAGCGCCACAACCCCAGAGTTGGCCACGACTGGACCTAATGGTCAGGGGTCCCTTTACCTGCCGCCCTAGACCCAGAGGTCTCAGGGCAGTTCACAGAATAAAATCAAAATATAAAAGCACAAAATACATAATCAAAATAAAAACAACAACCCAATAATTCCCCCCTCCAAAAAAAAAAACCAGCAACAGTGAAAGAGTGTGAGATATTCAAGCCCCAATAGACAGTCTCTGCAGAAATGCCATCACTCCAAAGCAGATTGTTCTCAGCCAAAAAATATTTTCCACCAAGTATTAAATCGGACTAAACACATAATGAACTGAGTAGCAATAATCTAGGCCAGGCTATGTGCATATTACCCTCTCCTCTGGCTCCAGTGTGACACCGCTGCCAGTGGTTGAAGCTCAGCACATGTAGCGTGAGCCAACATCCGTAGGTGTTCTGTAGTTTTTTGAGAAATACTTCTGTCTGGTGCACTTTCCCTTAAACCAGCTTCCGTCCAGTTTGAAAATGGAAGGCGAAGTTAGGCCGAGGTGTGTACACTTCCGGCAGCCATTGCACATGCTCAGATGACAGTGCCAGTGAATAATTGGAGTTCGGTGCAGGGAAAACAAGTCAGGCAATGCATATCAGGTGAAGACACCCCCTGCCCTCTCTCTGGTCTGTACAGCAACTTTAAAAAATGGCTTGAAATGTAGCAGGACGGGGGAGGAAGCAACCTTGTTGCATTTCAAGCTGCTAATGTGTTCATAGACGAAGCATGACCGACTGCTGATGGGTTTTCCACAGTCTTCAGTTGCTACCAGATGACTGTCAATTGAGCAGTCCTCCCAGCTTGTTTCCAGGGAGATGAGATGACCGTGGCTATTTAATGACCGTTTGTTCCTATTTGTTTGCAGGGAGGTTAGATGATGCTCGGTCAAAACAAGTGTTATCCCACACATTCCTTTCTGCAAAAAAAGGCTGATATTTTGGGGGAGCAGGTTTGTGTTGCAAGCATTGCCAATCAGCAATAACTACCCGGCCTGGATTTTCTGCTTTGTGGCTGAATCCCACCCAAAAATTAGACTGGAAGTGCCCACAGTTTGTGCGGAGGCCATACAGCAGCAGCAGCTGCTTGTTCAGCAGTCATTCTGATGTGTCTGCAAGGAGGTTATATGACAATTGCATCAATCAACTGTGAACCCGTGCTTTCAAGTGCATTTCCCTATTGCCTGCCACAAGGGGCAACTTGTTTGATTTGGGGTGGGGGGCTGTTGCGGAAAAGCACAAAATCCCCTTTAACTTTGTAACCTTAATTTGCAAATCCCACCTGCAAAATCTCCTGTTGATGCCCAGGATTGAAGTTGAGACCTTCTGTAAGCAAAGTCCTTCCTTTATAGAGCTCCTGCTACTCAGGACTTCTGTTAGGGTGGGCCTGGTGAAAAAGTAAACAGTGCTCCTGTACCTTTAATAAGGCAAAGGAACCCCTGACCATTAGGTCCAGTCGTGACCGACTCTGGGGTTGCGGCGCTCATCTCGCTTTATTGGCCGAGGGAGCCGGCGTACAGCTTCCGGGTCATGCAGCCAGCATGACTAAGCCGCTTCTGGCGAACCAGAGCAGCGCATGGAAACGCCGTTTACCTTCCCGCCGGAGTGGTACCTATTTATCTACTTGCACTTTGACGTGCTTTCAAACTGCTAGGTGGGCAGGAGCAGGGACCGGGCAACGGGAGCTCACCCCGTCACGGGGATTCGAACCGCTGACCTTCTGATCAGCAAGTCCTAGGCTCTGTGGTTTAACCCACAGCACCACCCGTGTCCCCGTACCTTTAATAGCTGTGCCTAAAAGTTTACACAGCTAATTAAAGGCACAAGGGACCTGTCTGGTTCCCCCCCCCCCTTCCAGCAGATCATGCTAGCTAGCTCCTTTTTAACTATCCTGTGGATTAGGGAATTTTTGCAGATTCAGACTGCTGTAATGGAGAAATGAGGAAAGCTACACCTGGCAGAACTCGAGGGAGCTATACCTGGCACAACCCTTCTATACAGGGGTTAAAGATGCACGGATCATCCCATTCTTGCATCTAAAGTTCCATGACCTCAGGACTGAACAGCTTGCAGAAATAGCAAACCAGGTGCAAATTTAAAAGTACAACTTGGTTGCGAATGCCTGGCTGTCAGCTGGGAACAAGAGCATGAAATATTCACAGGCTAATGATTGCCCTTTCCACAAAGAAGCACAGTCAGGCACGGCTTGGTTTTGTTTTTTAAAGTTTGGATGTTTAGTAAAAGCAGGATTTGACATCCTGCCTGTTCGTTAGGTAGGCGTGTGCTTGGCAGTTGTTGGCCCATTGTTTGGATGTGCATATATCTGTGCTGGGAGAAAGTTTGGCGCTAGTTCTATAGTGCCACTAGCAATGTGAATTTAAAGCTCAACAAAAGCATTGCCAGCTTTTCTTTTCTTTTTCCATTTTATTTGCTCTGCTCCCATTTCTCTCCACTGCCCCCTGATATTTTATTTATCTAAAATAAAATTTATTAAGGTTTATAGAGAAAAACATGAAACTTTTTCAAACCAAACCAAGACTTTATTTAGATACAAGAAAATCATGAAGGGGGGGAGGAGAAATAAAGAAGGAAGAATATATATATATATATATATATATATGAAGAGGTTAAAAGAGAAAGATAGAAAAATTACTTACCGAAACTTACAGGAAGAATAAGAAATCAGGATAACAAACTTTTTATAAAAAAATGGAAATGGTTTATTGAATATTTACAGATAAATTGCAAACAAATAAAAACATTGGCAGGATTATTGTAATAACCTGCAGTTTCACAAGCGTATATATTTAAGGTAGATAATTAAATGAGCAAATTAATTGAATTTGGATATGCAGAAGATATTAAAAAATAAATTTAAGGAACTGCAGAAAGATGGGAAAGGAAGTCAAACTTTGAAATGTTAACATGACTGTAAAACTAAGGAAATGTATCAATTTGAAAAGTATAAATAAAAACTTTTTTAAAAAGATACAGTGGTACCTCTAGTTGAGAACGGGATCCATTCCGGAGGCCTGTTCTCAACGTGAAAAGCCTGCAACCTGAAGCGCCGTATCTGTGCAGGTGTGGTGCGTGTGTGCATGCGCTAAATCGCGCTACTGCGCATGAGCGAGCGGCAAAACCCGGAAGTAACCCTTTCCAGTACTTCCGGGTCACCGCGGGACGCAACCTGAAAAAACATAACATGAAGCGAACGTAACATGAGGTATGACTGTAATTGTTATGGGGGGGAAGGTTAAAAGAGAAAGATAGAAAAATAAAATTGAATTGGATGAAGTGCGTATTGTGTTTAAATAGCAGACAGATGAAGAATCGGAAGTTCTTTACTTTTCCCCCAACCATCTGACATTTTAGAAGCTCGTCAGGTAAAGTTTTTTCTGACATGGGTATGGCGATGGAGGAAATTATCACACATGCTAAATATCA